GAGTAATCAAACTCATGAAAACAAAGACATATATATTAAATATAAAAATAAATTGACACATTTAATAAGAATAGCAAGACGTAACAGTAATGCTCAGGAAATTAGGGCTTCCCATGGAAATCCAAAGCAATGCTGGAGGGTTCTAAATAAGGTTCTCTGTCGGGGCCAAAAATCTACTTCTCTCCCTGACACCAAATGCAATCAAAACAATGAAGATTTAGCCAATAGTTTCAACAATTATTTTAATTCTATTGGAGAAACTCTCGCTAACACCATACATCCTCCAGGGGGTGCTACGTATCATCAATACTTAAAAGGTAGTTACTCCAAATCCCTGTTCCTGGAACCAACTGACAAAACTGAGGTTCAAAGAATTATTACAGGCATGAAGCTCCTGTACAGAAGGAGTGGATTCCATCTGTAATAAAATAGTAAAATATATAGAAAAATAAATTATTGACCCACTCGTCCATTGTACAAATCTCTCGCTGCAATTTGGAATAGTGCCAAAGAAAATCAAAACTGCTAAAATCATTCCAATATTTAAGTCTGGGGATCGGAATACTATGGAAAATTATCGACCCATATCAATACTGCCATCCTTTTTTAAAGTATTTGAACGGATTGTATATGATAGGCTCAGTGGGTACTTAAATAAAATGTGTATTTTAACTTCATGTCAGTATGGTTTTAGGAAACAGAGCACAACCTATATGGCTATTTTAGATCTTGTTGAAAAAGTAAATGATGCTATTGACAAAGGCGAGTGTGGAGTTGGTGTTTTCCTTGATTTGTCAAAAGCATTCGATACCATCAATTTTGATATATTGCTGGGGAAACTTGAGCATTATGGTGTCAGGGGTGTTGCCCTTGATTGGTTCAGAAGTTATCAGAGAGAGCAATATGTACAAACAGTAACAAATCTCAAAACAAAACTATCAAATGTGGAGTACCACAGGGTTCAATACTAGGACCGCTTCTTTTCATTACATACATAAATGACTTAACAAATTCAACTGATATTTTACACAAAATAATTTTTGCTGACGACACAAACTTATTTTTCTCTCACAAAAACATGCCTTTTATACAAGAAACAATGAATGAAGAACTGACTAAAGTAGATATCTGGCTAAACTATAATAAATTATCCCTAAATATGGGGTGGCATGGGATGGGTGGGGTGTTTGTAAGTGGGTTTTGGGATTGTGTAGTAGTATGGAATGTTACACTTGTTTCTACTGTGTTGTTTTATGTGTTATGTGTGTCATGTGTTGTTTTTGGGGCCCCGTCTATAAGCGTATGCAGCTTCCTGGGAGTTCTTTTTTTACAAAACACCAACCAACACTACATTGTAAAAGTGTATAACCAATAGGCTACGAGTTTTGTAAATAAAATAATTGAATTCATCCATCCATCCATTTTCTACCCTTTAATCCATTTCTGGGTCAGGGGGGTGGCAGTCAGAGATGCCACCCAAGTCTCATAGCACCAGCCCCTCACTGACCCTCTGCAGGTGGTGAGTCCACAGGAGGACGGCTGCTCTCTGAGTGTGAGCATAGCCTTGATCTTTCAGTGGGGGCTTTGGGCAAAGTGGGGTTAAGTGTCTTGCCCAAGGACACAACGACAGCAGTCATCAGTGGGAGTCGGTGGAGAAGGTGTAGAGGTGGGAATTGAACCCACGACCTTCAGGCCTGAAGGCCAATGCTCTACCAACTGAGCTACTGTCGCCCCATAATTGTGGCTCATTTGCTCGTATCTATTGGTTCTTCTGATTTAATTTAGTCATGGTCTATTTTTCATCTCGTTATTCTTCGTGAACACTCAATTTAGTCGTCTGCGTCTCAATAAATGACTTCCATTTTGTTTTTGTATCGTTTTCAGCCCCAAAAATATATTTGTGATGAAAAATATGACGATAATATTTTGTCAACGAACTGAACACTGGATGTCATTGTACCGCTATGACATCACACTCAGTTTTCTGCCTTTTAAAACAAAAGTATGTTGTAATGTTTGTTGTTTTTGTCTAAGTACGCTCTTAACAATCGCAAGGCTATTTTCAACGGGAAACTTTCAAATGTGGGAAAAAGAACAAAACTGGCCGAACGCATTTAGTACCTTTGATACTTGTTTTGCCATATATTTTCTACGCAAGATATTTCAAATTCCAAGACATTAAATGACAAATAGTCTCATTATAATTGTAATGGCCAAAAATGCATCATACTGCATAATATTTCTTCTTTAAACTGCCAGACAGAGCATGTAAGTCATGTCTACTGCGTTGTTAGCCTCAGACCATCAATTATATGCACTATATTTACATACAAAGCAGGTAACTTGGGTCATTTGCTTTGCTTGTTATTCTAGTTTCCTCCCATGCACAAATTAAAGACATGGACTGAAAAAATGCCTTGCCGGAAGGGAAGGAATATGAAAGTGAGCGTTTAGCACGAAAACATTCGTTAACAACATATAAGCTTTAAATTACTTATCCATGGTAACCGCTTTGCCTGTAAGGTCTCACAATATGAAAATAGGCCTATGTTTTTTAAATGCAACAAGCCATGATCTAATACAGACAGTATCAGTCCTTTCTGACACTAAATATATCATGCTCAAACTCATTTGTTTTTTTGTTTATTTGTACTATTGCAGATACATTTTAAAGCATAAAACAATGCAGGGAAAGCCTGGGCACTGTATAGAAAGTGTCCTCAAGCTGTAGCGATAGGCAGTGTTTATGTTGTAGAATTTTATTTCAGATTTTGTACTTCTTGCTTATTCATTATGTTAAAGCTAGGGATGTTTTACTTGCTTCTTTCTTAAGATAAAGCTAAAGATTTTATTACAGAGTTATTGTTAATTTGTTCCTCAGTCCTACTGTTCTCTGTAACCAGTGATGCAAAACGGAAATTTCCCCACAGTGGGATAAATAAAGGATTTCTTAATCGTATCTTCAGTATTTTGAGATGCCAATACATCTCTATGGGAAAGAAGCAGTTTTAAAACAAATGTTAAACAAGAAAATGTTTCCCCAGATTATTTAAAAGTGAAAAGATCCACAAATCCAAATACATCTGAGGGCCTGACCCTAACCCCGGACACCTTTAGGACAAAAAAGTTAAATACTTAGAAGATATGTACTGACAAAGAACATTTAAACTTGTGACTGTATAGTTTATGTAGATTTCCCCAGGAATTGGTGAGAAAAAAGCTAAAACCATTTTTAACTCTAAGCTCTTTGGAATGGTTTGATGTCGCACTAATGCAACCCATTCTGCAAGTTTGGTGCCTGAGGGTTAAAACCAATTCTTGTGAAAGTTACATTGTAACTATAACATACACTTCCAAAGTACCAATACATCTACATGTGTACTTACGGCACTAACAAAATACTTAATTGCACAATGAATTTGGCCTCTGAATGAGTTACTTTTCCATCTTCTGCTACAAATGCCAGTGTTTGATGTAGGTGTGCGCGTGCTGTGATTCCAAGTCTTCACTAAAAGCTTTTTGAAGTTTAAGCAGCTGCACTCTGTCTTTATCAGGACTTTGACAGTGAATATAGGCCAAGTCTGCCTCACTCTCAAAGCAATACAGCAGCCACTAAAGTTACATTACAGAGAGTATGAAAACAACACGGACTGCTTTCAACACTCATTTTGCCATCTCGTTGAGACAGTAAAACTCTCCTGTGTGTTCTATGGTCAAAAGAGTTGTTATTCTTAATTATTTACGCACTCTAAGGAGGATGATTCATTTTTAAAGGGATGGCATCGAGCCGAAGTTAGTTTATTTGAAATGACAGAGCACTCAGGTATCACTTCATGTTTCGTCTCAATTGAGAATAAGATTTAGAAAGACTAGCTCTACATAACCAGTTTTGTTAAGCAGCCATGGTAGAAGGGTATTTGTGAAGTATGTGTTTGTGCAATGATCAGATATTTAAACATAAAGTTCACAATGGATACAACAATGTTGGGCATAAATCAATCTGATCATCTTGATAGGTTAGTTGTTCTACCTTTAGATAGATACTGTAATGATCCTTGTAGGGGAATACATTAGTGATCAAGTATGTGTTTGAGCAAAAGGGGGAAATGTAGTATCTGTTATTATAACTCATACACATACTCGTGTATCGTCAATATGTATAAAATAGTGTTTAGAACATTTGGGCCAATTGGAGAGACAGCTGACTCGACTGACCCTTCTCTGGGGTCAATGGGGCTGTGGACATCTAGAAGGACAATAAGAGCCTGTAGAGAGACCCTCAGGTAAGACAGACTCAGAGATATGGAGTTTAACCAGGACTAGTCTACAAGATTATTGAATGACGTGTATTTATTACATCCTGCACTAGCGCTTCCATAAGAGCTCTGTGCTTAATGTGTTCTTTGTCATTCTTACCAACCTCATTTTCGAAGCTGACCCAGGCTGAAAGCGCTAAGCCTGAATTTGACTTGATGTATTCTGAGTATGCCATTAAACTCTTTCTTTAGTACATAACTCAGAGTGCATTCCTTCTCCGACACTACATACTGGTTTGTGCGGGAAACCCCATCTTCTGCTAAAAAGAAGATAAAAAATAACCTACAAAAGTAATAAAGTGCAAATGTATAACTCAGACAGATCGACAGAAACAAAGGATCTCTTAAAAAGTTCCGTTCTGCAGCGGCGCAGTCACTCCTCTGAGCAGCCATCCCTGCATCATCTCCCAGAGCAGTCATTTTGACCGCTCCATTCATAGGAATTCCAGAAAAAAATTACCAGCGTGAGGAAACAAAACTTTTTTCCCACTTTTACTTTGGGAGAAGCAAGAATTCCATTTATTTGAATAAATGACTACTCTTGGAGTTCTAGTAGATTCATAATTCTGGGAGTCCTAGTGTTGAGATAATTTCACAAAAGCCTGAAAAATGTCTGATCTCCTAGTCCCGGCCAGTCCAAATTGTAGCCTTGAAGGCAAAGAGAAAGTGGTACTTGTTACTGACCTCCCCAGTTCTCCAGGCTGAACAGGTTGCTGAAGTTGTGGCTGACAAAGGGGGAGATTTTCTTGAGGTCGTGTGTGCGGACCCTCGTGGCCAGTATGGACTGATGGGCGTCTCTGAAGGTGGTGTCCATCAGGAGCAGGCCATTGTGAGCGCGCACAGCTTTAGCAAAACCCTCAGGCCCGTCCCGCAGCAGGACATCCCGGAAGCCCACCGGAGCGTCACCTAAACAGAGGGGACACATATACAACTGTGTTAAAGCTGTGTTCAATAAGAAGCAAACAAAATTCTACATCTCTCTGACTACAATCAATAATTCACGCACACCACTCATACTAGGTAATGTGGATGAAGTGTCCTGCCTTAGGACACATCAGCAGTACAGTACTTTACAGCTGCAGCCGCCCCACTGTGACATAAAGTGTTCCCAGAGGTTTCGCATCACCATAGACTCATTGCATCAGCAAGGAACAAGCCAAAGAACCATAAGGGGAAAATGTAAAAATCCTCAGGGCCTTTTCTCCTCCCAGGCAGGGAGGGGAAAAGGCCTTAGGTGGTAACCAGGTCTCCGGTGGTAACCAGAGGAAGGAAAATTATCTTTAAAAAAAAATAAACAAATTGAGGCTATACATTTGTGTGACGTCATAGTGGTAGAACTACATCATAATATTACAAGACTAAGACGGAGCCTGTACACAGAAGGAGTTATATGTTTATGCCAGAAGTTATTGAGCCAGGAGGGATCTACAAACAACTCCAAGTCTGTTTTTGATGAGGGAACAATCTTGCAACCATAGCTCATAAGAGTCCAACAACATGTGGTCTTGAGAATCGAGGTTTGAGATGATTCAAACTTCTTTAAAGTGTATTCTTACCATGATTGCATAAGTGACAGTTGAATCTAATTTGTTTTGTTTCACTGGGCTTGGATCCGAAACAGCAGGTAAGCATACATTTTTATCATCATGCACTTGCTCTAACTGTTTTAATGAGGTGCCTCTTGTCGCTTTCTTCCTTAACAACCACACGCTAGAATAGATGAAACCTAACAGACAGTAGCGCTATGGAAATTCCAATGGCTTATTAAATCCACCACCCGGCGATTTGAAATTCTAACCTCTGACATTAACTTGTCCAGGCGACGTTTTAATAAAAAGGAAACTATTATTCTTGAGATGGGAAATGAGACGAAGTCAATGTAGTGTCTACAGACATGCAAAAATAGGGGAGCATGCATACAACAATAACATTATAGTTAGTGTTCCACATACTGGAACAAATTCAATCAAATTGTATTTTTTCAAGACAAGTTTATGGGGAAGTAACAATTTCATTCAGTCCTGCATCACAATGTTAAACTATCGGGCTCTTTAGATTATGCTAATGTCAAAAAAAAAAAAAAACAATTCAATTGGCTGATTAATGGGAAACATATAAATTTATAAATATATATATCCATCCATTTTCTACCCTTTAATCCATTTCTGGGTCAGGGGGGTGGCAGTCAGAGATGCCACCCAAGTCTCATAGCACCAGCCCCTCACTGACCCTCTGCAGGTGGTGAGTCCACAGGAGGACGGCTGCTCTCTGAGTGTGAGCATAGCCTTGATCTTTCAGCGGGGGCTTTTTGGGCAAAGTGGGGTTAAGTGTCTTGCCCAAGGACACAACGACAGCAGTCATCAGTGGGAGTCGGTGGAGAAGGTGCAGAGGTGGGAATTGAACCCACGACCTTCAGGCCTGAAGGCCAATGCTCTACCAACTGAGCTACTGTCGCCCCATAAATATATATATACACCATATATGTGTATATATATAAATATATATACACATGTGCAAATGAAATATTCTTGACAAATGTAAAGTATGCGGTAGAGTAAGACAGAGAGCTGACACATATAGACTTACCAGTTCCCAGGTTCAGAAAGGTTCAAGGGGAAAGCTACTAAAAGTGGTTAAAATTCAGCGCCCTGTCTGTCCTGTCACTCGTGCCTTTCAGGACCAAAAACCTCCTGACAGCTGAATCAGATAGATATGGAGCGCTTTTAACTCAGCAGTATATTTTACATTTTAATTCAGTTACCAAGCACAAGGCAGTGCTGTATCTTGACATGGTAAAAGATCAAGTCATATTTCAATAGTACACATTCTACGCTAGAGTTAATCCTATTGGAAACACAATAGTAAAGTAGAGCTGCTGTTGCTGCTAGAACAATTTATATAGAGCAACCTGGCATCACAAAAAAAAACTTCCAACATTTGTATTACATATTTTGTGTTTTATACATCTGTTGATTTCTTTAGTCTATGTTTCAGAGCGCCAAAGAACAAGATTTTTTTTTTTCCACAGACTCCAATTTAATTGGATTGATAAAGACAAATATAACCCGTGCATGGCTATTGAGGTTTGAAATAACAGTCCGTTTTGTGGTTTTGCTGGTGCGCACAAAATTGATGCAGTTTTTTTCTCATGTATATATGAGACACTGGGCAGTGATGAATTTGAGGGCACAGGGAAAACCAAAACTCAGATTCCAAAATTCTAATGTATGAATTCAAATGTAAATGAACAGATATAGGGACGCACTCATGTTCTTCAGGATCAATACACAGTCCTTTGCTGCAGGTGTTTAGTTTTGTTGCACAAAGGAAGAACAGGAAAACATGAATCACGGTGCTTTTAAGAGCGCTGTGGAAGTTCAATGATACCTTCTACAGCGTCTGAGCGAGCGAGAAAATAAACGGGCCAAAATAAACATGTTATGTGATCACATTAGCCGGCAGGGTTTTATAATACATGTACGACTGCGGTTTCATTTGCAATTACAGTTGATACGTTTGAGTAATAAGCAAAAGCTACGAGACACCATTGAAAGCGTCCTCGGGTCTGGAGCCTTGAATGGCTTCTCTGCAGGGTGCACAGAGATGAGACTTGTTTGTTAATTCCACCGAATAGAGTGCGGTTTGTGAATGTAATCTGTATTTTTATGCTTTGGAAACGCTTTTTTTATTTTTCTCGCTTCTCAGCAAGCAGGTCCTGGATGCGAATCCCGGTCGAAACAGGTTCTTTCTGAGTGGAGTTTGTATGTTCTCCCCAGGTTTGTGTAGGTTTTTCCCATTGAAATCCTTAAATTGGATGCCGACGAATACAAATGTTGGTTAGCTATGGCAACATCAACCAATTAATCGACAAAACGACCATAGATAACAGCCCAAGTATATACGTATGTCCAGTATTCACAGAAGTATATAAGCGAATATACCTTACATGTTCATAGATATGTGTGGCGTCCATTAATAGCCTCTGCTTTCAGGATGGCCCCACAGGAAACAAAGAACAAGGCGATAAAACTTGGCATTTGTTGAGTGCCGCAGCTCAACTCCCAAAGCAACACAAACCCAGTGGCCAAATGTCACCGCTAAAAGCCCAGACAAAACAACGCCAAACAAACACTCAGGGATAAGAAACAAGCCTCCACTGAACCTGAAGAGAAACAAAGAGGAATTCAGCTGCACTCAAGGGCCACTGCTTTACATGCAGCTGCTGTGGATTTAAAGCTGGGGTACATAACTTTCAAACCACAGCCGTTAAATGATGGAAGAACATAAATCCAAACAGTTTATCGCTCAAAAAGCACAATCACTAGTTTTCACACCTTTTGGAGAAGTTTAAAAAGAGGAGCACCCTCAGTCCAACAATCAGCTCTCAGTCCAAAGGGTCAAATAGTGAATCATAGTATGTAAGAGATAACAAGTTTTCTAAAATGAATCCGATCCACTATATTTGTGTTCAAAAACAGTTTCCAAAGTGCTGCAGATAAATACATCAGCAATAAATTCAACATCTAAAAGTAGAAATAAAAGCTAATAAATGTAAAATATCCCCATTTAAGATGATTAGGGTACTCTATAATCGCTATATTAAAGAACAGAAATTACATAACTGACATTATGAGAAGAAAACAATTATAATAATGAATGACAACATCCAAAAAGAAAATAATAGTAGACTTGTTTTCCATAAAGTGCCTTTCACATACCTGGGGTGGTTTCTCAGTGGACATTGGTCAACTCCCCCTATGGACCAATACCTATGTGTTCTTTATTTTGTGTGTTTGAATGGTTAGATGCTATGATCTGTGTCGGCGATTTTGTTAACTGAGATGACTAATGTGATTTAGGGGTAAACAAAAATAAATAGAAATCTTTGTTTACATCCGTGTGCGCGTAGGCCACTCACTGAGTGGCAAGAAGACAGAGCAACACATACTGAAGCCCATATGAGCCCTGGGATGACGAGAAAAAACATGTGTCAGACTCACATCTGTATTGGCATCGATCTGCAAGACATTTATTCTTACTTCATAGAAAACCCGGGACCCGGGTCTGTGGTGAAAAACCAATTCTTGTTTTTTTCACTGCGGGAAAGTGGCCCGGCTTTTTGCCGTTGTGGTAAAATGTTCCACACATTAACAGCGGGTTGTCCCTTTATCCTGTTACTTAGGGTAAACGTGGAAAAGGAAGCCGCGAGGATGAGCAACCAAAATGCAATGGTTAAAATTCTACATCACAGTGAACAAGTGTGCAGTGAAAGTGCAATTTTTTTAATGAATTTTTATCCCCTCATCCTCCGGCTTCCCTTTTTAGGTTTACCGTAGGTAACAGCATAAAAAGGCAACCCACTTTTAATATGTGGACCACTTTACAGCGGCCATATTTTGCGGTTCTTTTCCGAAGGACTTAGAAAATAAAACTTTATCTGGCCCCAGTGGGTCTCCTATAGCAGACCTTAAAAGAATAACTGGCTAAATGGACTTAAAATGACCAGAACATGCGATAGATATTGAGGGAACAACAACATTGGGGGTTACACTAGATAAACACTGTGCGCATTGCAAAAGCAGGATGCAATTTTGATTCATCTTCCCTTTTCATTTGAAAATTTCTATACGCTTTCATGCAACTGTGGATTTCCCGGCATTTTTATTTTCTAGTTATGGAGCTGAAAATGCAAAGTGTAAGGCTTTCTTGTCTAATCAGATCTTAATTAAGTCGTGCCAATATAAATGGCATTTGTTATTTGCATTTAGAAGCAGAGCGGGTGGCGACCGCATCTGCACAGCTCTTTCCAACACGCAACCCGACAATTAAACATTCCACAACTAGAGGCATTCAAATATTGCAACGTGGAATCTATTTTGGCCACAATCATCAATCAATTAGACGAG